TTGATTTTGGTTCCTTAAGTTCTTTTTGAATGATAAAAAAAACTGGATGTAACTTTAAACAAACAAAAGAACAAAAGAAAACAATAACAACCTAAACTCTTTATTACCCTCCGCCTCTCGTAAGGAGGAGGAGGTTGGTCAAGGATCCAAAAGAAGCTATCAAGACTATATAAAAGTTTAGCTAAGTAGGCAGCTAAGTGGTTTTCATCCCTATACATATGATAAATATTAATCTTCCAATCTCTGTTAAAAATTAATCTAGCATCATCAATAATATCCTTGAAAGGGTGTTGGCCATCCTAGCTCCTGGTGATTAGGTTGATAGCCTCGAAGCTGTCAGAGTAAAGTGAGACTTCCTTGAAATTCCTACTCCAGTACATGTTAAGGTCGTGAATCATCCCAATCATCTTCGCAATTGTAGGGGGCACATTTGTGACTTTACAGTTGAAACCAATAATCCAATTATCTACGTTGTCCTGCATTACTCCATTGCAACAGCTTCTTCCATCTTGTAAAACAGAACCATCCACTGCAAGCTTCACCGCTTCCCACCTGCATGGCCACTGCTTTGTCCCTCATTTGTTTCATAGAAATTGTAAAACCTGTAGTGTTTTAATAGATTTTGATCTAGACACACTATGAAAAAGCTAGCAAACCCGTTACGAGGATCATCTATGCTAGGTGTGTTGAAAAGGCAATTACATCTAACCACCCATATGTCCTAACAGATGTAACCAAAAAGAGTAGCCCAAGGGGTCTTCTTAGTCTAGTCATTCCATGCTTCATTGGTGAGATTCCAAGTAACCCACTTCGTGTCATGTTTGGACACAAAAGCGTTCCACATCGAGGCCTTGATTACTAATTTCCATATGTCTTTAGCATTGACACACCTATGAAGAAGGTGCACACAATTTCTGCCTGGTTGCATCCAAAAGGGCAACTTGCCTCTTGCTGAACTCCCTGTCCACTCTTAATTGCATCATGTGGATCCTGTCACAGCAGAATAGCCACATAAGAGATTTAATCTTTTCTGGGATTCTCTATCTCCAAAGATGTTTCTAAATGCCCTCCATCGGAGGTTTGGTACCTACAAAAATGAAAGAGTATGCAGATTTAATAGTAAAGATACCGTTAGTGAACAGTTTCTATAAGAATTCATCCTCTCCTCTCTCCTCACCAAGTGAGTGTGCACAAGAAATTCAATCCACAATATGAGGATGGAACCATAGAAGAAGTTTCTGTCTGTCCCAATCTCCCCTATTTGCCACATAACCAATCACTCGCTCCTCTCTATCAATCATCATTTTAAGAACAAGGATGAGATCAATTAAGAAAGTGTATATTTTAGACCAATTATCAAACTAAAAAGAGGTAGACAGCCTATTACCTATTTTCCTCCCTACTCCATTCTTGAACTTTTGCCACATTTCACAAATTCCCCTCTAAGTAAGAGAAGAGTAGTGATGATTTTCCACTTCGGGCATATTAGGACTACCACACATGTACTTTGATCTTAGGACCTTGACCCATAGTACCTCCTTCTTAGTGAGTAGATTCTAACAAAGCTTCATGATATAGGCTTCATTCTATTTTTGCAAATTCTTTATGCCCTAACCTCCTACTTTTTTATCTTGAAGAATTTGATCCCAAGATATAAGATATAAGGTGCATTTTTCCTTCGTCTTCATTTTCTTCCCATAAAAAGCTTCTACTTTTCTGTTCCAACTGTCTCAGGAGCTTTTTAGGGAGCAATCTAGTCTAAATGTAGTAAGAAAGAAGAGTAGATAGGACTATTCTAACAAGAACTATTCTTCCTATAAAATTAAAACAATTACATTTCCATCCTGAGAGTCTTTCTTGTGTCTTCTCTAGAAGGGGAGCAAAATTGATATAGGACACCCTTTCATGGATCAGAGGAATTCCCAAGTAATTGCCTAGGTCACTTGTAAGTCCCACTCCCATTTTTTGGCTTAGTATGGATTAAGAAACTCATACGAGAAAAGTCTTACAGCACTTTTGTATGGATAAGTCACATCCATCATGTGCTATGGTAGTTGCAAGATCTTTAAACGTGGATTAAAGATTCATTTAGATTTAGAGAAGGTGATAAAAAATACTTAGTCCAAAAGCACTCATATATTTAGCTAATCATGCACATACAACTGGATATATCATTTGTTAATTAGCATCATATAGGCTTGGAATGAAGTTAAGCGCATTTTTTGTTATTTTAAGGGTAATATAGGGGTGATATTTTTTTTATATAAATATACTCAGGACTAATTTTATTGGCTATGCAAATGAAGGATTTTTGTGTGATCCTCATGTTGAGAGATCACAATATAGTTCACATGTTGTTAAACCACAAATAAACTATTTGTCTCATGATCTTCAAAAGATTGTAAAAATTAATATTGGTCGTATTTATTTAAATTTAATATTTGGAATGCTTGTTCATTATATTAGAATTTATAGGCTTGAAAATTTCAACTGATATTGCTAAGAAGGGGAGTTGATGCACACTGTACTTTTTTTCCTCTTTTTATGATTTTGTCCCATTGAGTTTTTCTAGCAAGGTTTTTAATAAGGTGACACTGTATAGTGTATTAATAAATGTTGTACTCCTTTTCTTCTACTAAATTTTTGTCCCATTGGGTTTTTCCCAGTTGAATTTTTTAATGATGCACAGTCATCCAATGGACATCCAACAAGGAGTGTTATGAATGTAATAATATCTGTGTAGATATCCATATCTCTTCTATTATCTCCAATATCATATCTTATTTACATGATCTCACAATTATCTTCTATCATCATGTAATCTATAGATTTTGTTAAAATTGTAAATTATGTTTATAAATAGAAGGCATGTATAATGTATTCAGGACCCTTGAATAGAAAGAGAAATACTCTCTTGTTGACTCTTTTTTCTTTTCTACTATTTTTTTAGTTTTATAACATAAATCATTTTGAAATGGAATTTCGGACTTAAAATGCTATGGTGGTAAAAAAAAAAAAACTCATTTGTTCATTTAATGTAAAAGCTACTAAACTAAGCTTGATAAATTAAGCTAAATAAATTACTTAATTGTAATATGACATTATCTCCCCAAAATATCTTTATATAATATTGGATTATATATCAATTTAAAAGTTAAATAAATTGGTTTAAGAAAAACTGATATATATAATTAATATATATATAATATGGATTAAGTAGTTACATTTCGATTCATCATCATTTTCTTGACTAATTCCTGCTTTAAGACCGGAAGAGTAATACTTTTAGAAGAGAGAAAACATACATTTAAATACAGATATTCCTGCTCGGACAAAACCAATAATATCTTTTGTTTGCAATGTTTGATATTCACCCAATTTCTAGTAAGACTAAAATTTGGAAATTTCATAGCAGTTGCTATTTCATTTGCGTGTGCGCGTAGAATTGTTCCAAATTATCATAAGAAAAGTACGCATGAAAATTTTGTTTAATAAATTTTCGTATACAGAATTTAATATTCAAACACTTTTTATTATTTAAGATTTTTGTCGATAGAATTAGAAGTGACGTAATGATAGAATGAATCATGTTAAAGAGTATCTTGTGCCATTGCATATGAATTACGTAATCAATCAATCATCAACATATATAATAAAATCAATTGTTATTGTTATTTTACTAACAGATAATTTTAATTAATGCTTTTTTAAGAGAAAATTAAAAAATACTTCTAAAATTTTAAAATCCCAAATCAAGAATGACTCGTAAAATGTATTATTATTTACTTTTCAAATATTATTAATTGTTATTAAAGCATGATAAAATGACTGATTTGAAAATTCAAAATTTAAAGATATTTTTCTGGGATTATTTCTTTTTTGAATGAAATGTGGGGTTAATATAACCTCTAACAATACAGAGGTATATAACATTTAATAATAGTGCTAGTTCATCGTTAGTACATAGTGATAATTTTTTTTTTACTCAACTATTGATATCAGGAAAAATGACAAAAAAAAATTAGTTGGAAATTACTAAATACCAAATAAGAAATGTCAACAAAAATTTGTTGTCATTTACAAATTTAATATTGTCAATACTAAATAAAGTGTTATTATCAAACTTGATTTGGAATTTAATAATTTTCAGCTTCATTTTTTGTTATTTTTCTTTAATATTATCACAGAGGATTGGTTAACATTTTTTTGACTTATAAATATCTATATAAAGTTATTCCTCTAAAATACTTTAAGGCTAGTAATAACTGTGTCCAAATTTTCTGAGAATCCCTCTCTTTCGTTTTTCTTCTTAAAATCTTGTTTCCATTGTCAAGAAAATGAATGATTCGCGTTTAAATATTTCAAAAAATGTTTGTTCACTTCCTCTCTTTTATTTATGTATGTATAATAATAATTTTAAAATATTAAATCTTAATTACCTATTACCTCTGGTTATAAATATAAGAGCTAATTGACTAATTTGAATAGATTAAAAAAATAATTTAAGTTAGTCATTTATAATAAATATGTGTTGTTTTTTCTAAAATATTCTTGCTAATCAAGTTTATTAGTTGGACTCGTTATTATTAAAAGGACTATTTTGAGAAAAAATGAATAAATATGAAAAACAGAATGGATTGGATTTTATAATTAAAATCAAAATAAAAATCAAATAAAATTTTATATTAAGAAGTGAAGGTATTATTTTTATTTAATAGTGGAGTTAAGAGTTATTTTTATTACCTCTTGTATATTTTGTATGGCAGTGAAAGCACAGCTGAGCCCTTGTTGGCCCCAACCCGAGTTCTCACTCATTGTTTGCGGTGAGCGGATTTATTGCTTTGCCGTTCTAGAAAGGAGACTGCTCTCTGAGACTCTGACCTCGTCAACGAATTTTCAAATTTGAAAAGATCACACTACAGCGTGGCATTTTCGTCATAATGCACCACCTTCGAGGGCATTAATATCTACTTCGAATCAAAATACACGCTTCTCTCCCTCGGTTCCCCATTTGATCCCCGTAGTTGTCAACCTTCTCCTCCCCTCTCTTGATCGCTGTGTCTTCGTTTTGAAATCTTCTCTCTGCAACGAAAGTTACGAAACCCTTCGATTTCTTTCTGAATCTGTGGCGAGATTTGTGTTCTTATGGGTCAGCAGTCGTTGATCTACAGCTTTGTGGCGCGAGGCACGGTGATCCTGGCTGAGTACACCGACTTCTCTGGCAACTTCACCAACATAGCCTTGCAGTGCCTCCAGAAGCTCCCTGCCTCCAACAACAAATTCACCTACAACTGCGACGGTCACACCTTCAACTACCTCGCCGATAATGGATTCAGTAATTTCTATTTCGTCCTTTTTGTGATCTTGATCTTTTTGTTTGCTTCCTCTCCCTGATCCGCGTCTTGTCGGTGTTTTCTGACTACCACCCGTTGCTTGATTTAGTTAGTTAGGCCCTTTTTTAAGTTTTTTCCCGTACGTTGGATTTCGATGATGAAGCTGGCTTCTTGTCTTATTTGTTTAAAGAAATTTTTCTATTACAATGGAAGTGGTCTTCCAGGGTTGAGCCTCGGAGCTGAAGTTTTTGAGAACGAAATATAAAGGTGCATCAATGTAATGGATCTGTTCTGTACATTCAGTGCGGCGGTATTGTTCAAATTGGTGAAAATACTAGGAATAAACTTTGCGGTTGAAATTATTGATCTTGGGTGAGATGAGTCCAATAGATTTAAGTTTGTAGATAAACAATCATGCATATAAAAAAATGCGGTTAAGTGCGTGCCGGTGTAGTTTCTTGCTAAAGCCTTCGACAATACTGTAATATGGTGGTATTTCAATTAAATCCAGTTATCTTCTGCTGTACTTGGGATGATCAAAGGGAGGATTGGTCTTGATGGCTTTCTAACAACTTGATCCGGCCATTGGAGATTGTGAACTGATTATGGAATTTTGATCTCGTAATAATGAGCAACATGAGATTGAGATTTAGAAGTCTAATGCGCCTAGCCTGACTTTGCTATAGAATATAGATTATCAGCAGAGATGTTCATGGATATTAAGTTTCACGGAAGAATTTGATAGTAACATTATATTGTTTCCCGCTTCTACCCCCCATTCTGTCACCTTAATTTTATTTACTGGTAAGCTCAAAGTTGATAGGATGTGAAAAGTACTATTCATACGCGCTTTCAAGAAGATGTAGGTGTAATATAAAGCATCAAGAATAATTTTTCTGAACTAAGTACCATATGTCATGCTCTGTGGTTTTTAAAGATGCTGATTGGTGTTCTATAGTTCTTGAAAAAGGCCTATTATTAGTCAGACTAACTTGATCTATTACTTTGTAGCTTACTGTGTAGTGGCAGTGGAGTCTGTTGGTCGTCAGATTCCATTGGCCTTCCTTGAACGCGTTAAGGAGGATTTTGCCAAGAGATATGGTGGAGGAAAGGCTGCTACAGCTGCTGCTAAAAGCCTTAACAGAGAATTCGGGTACTTACGTTTACTTAACTATACATAAAACAGACATTCCTTTCTGTTGACTATAGAATCAATATGAAGACCATATGTTGTTCATGGTGTAGACCCAAGTTGAGGGAGCACATGCAGTACTGTGTGGATCATCCGGAGGAGGTTAGCAAACTTGCAAAAGTGAAAGCTCAGGTTTCTGAAGTTAAAGAAGTCATGATGGAAAATATTGAGAAGGTATGTCACTTAGATGCTGCCAATATGTCTTCTTTTAGGGTAGATGGAGTATCTCCTCTTGAAAATTGTTATATTTGGGATTTCCTCAGGTTTTCTTTGGCCAGATTCAGATACAATAGTCGGGGTAGTGGATAGAGTATTCACTTCCCGTCTGCTGGGGAGCGTTCTTAAGATTATCTGATTGTCTAATATGTGGCTTTGTATGTGTATTGTAATGTCTTATATGCAGGTTCTCGATCGTGGAGAGAAGATTGAGGTTTTGGTGGATAAAACTGAGAATCTTCGCTCTCAGGTATTAAGATCCTATTATGGTTCATGTATAAACCTAAAAAGAAAAGTTATGGTAAAACAAGCTAAGAAAAACCTAAAAAGATCATATTATGCTGTCCATTTTATGTATATATTTTCTGGTTGATTTTATGCTATGTCCTGTGAAAAACAGCAAGTCGTTATCTCTATTGTATCTTTACGCTCCTTCATTTAAAGGCTTGTTTTCACCTGCACGTGCAAATTAGATTTTAAAAGATGAGTAATTACAAAATAACTAAATACAAGGTGAGTGTATCCCAGATATTTGGCTAGCATACAAGAAACGGAGCCCTTTTTCCTTATTTAAAAATCAAGATATGCAATATAGAAGCAAGAATTGCTATTATTCAACGATAACTATTATTATTTTTTATTTTATTTAATGATACAAGAGATACTCTACTACCTACAAAATCAATTTTTTTTTTAAATATTATTTGTGTACTAAGCAAGTCCTTCTCAAATGGAAGTCCAAAATATTTCCTCATTCATGAAATGAGTTATTTTGGAAACTTGATCTAAAACTAGATTAGTTTCCAACTTGAATATTGGGCCAATTTTCCTTTTCCATCGAGGGTACTCAATTGGAATGTGCATATATTTCTTTTCTGTGAAGGCATAGGAAGTTAAACTTGCAACGCCTCCTATCCTGTGTACAGACGTGTTTGGTTTGAAGCTTTTATGGATTGTAATTGACTATTTGACATTTGAACTGTCATGGGTCTGCAGGCACAAGATTTCAGGACGCAGGGAACCCAGATGAGGAGAAAGATGTGGTTGCAGAACATGAAGATAAAGCTCATAGTTTTGGGTATTATAATTGCCTTGATTCTCATAATTGTTCTTTCGGTGTGCCATGGTTTCAATTGTGGTAAATGAGTCTTCTCAGTCAGGATTATCACTGTGGGGCTTCTGTAATTCTATATATCTGCTTGATACGAACATTATAGATTTGTTCATTTAATATTCTAAAGCCTTGTGTAGAGAAAATGCCTTGGTGGGAAATGAATGTGTAGGAGTTACGTGCATGGCTTTGCACACTGGCCGCTTTGCATTTTTGAAGACTGATTGTTTCATTTGTAGAATTCTATACATATTGAAGGGTCAATTTGTTCCAGAATTTATAATGTCGTGGTTTTTCTCTCTTGAAACCATCCAAATTTAAGCCCCCCCGACATCCGATGTCTCGTTGGGAAATTTTGACACATCTGTTGACCTGAGGCTGATCGAATAATATTCTTCTGAAAGTAATCTGACAACATGTTCTTCCGTTGCTCCTGGAAAACGATAGAGAATTCATGAAAGTCGGAGTGAAATATATATATATATATATATATATATTTTAGGGGGGAAGTCATTCTAAAAAAACTATAAGAATCGATATTTATTTTGAAGGATCATAAATTTAAAATTATATTGAAAGGCGAAAAAGCTGATTGCCTAATATACCCTCTACATATTCTAAAACATAACTCTGTAAATAGAACAAAACTTCTTAAATCTATACTTTTTAATCCCATCAATTTAGATGTGTATTACCTTTATACATCATGCATATAATCTCTCAATTCTGTTAACTCACATTTTAAATGAAAAAGGATCTCAATGCCTATCAACTCTAGATTTTTAATTATCTCAGGAATTTGAACTCCCACTTGAAAAAAAAAAAAGAAAGGGTTCAAGCTTTAATTAAACGTTTGGGCAACCCGCACTGGCCATTGTGGGAGAAAATTAGATGCCCCATTACGAAACAAATCGTTTAGAAATTTCTTTTCGCTATTGTAAGAATTTTTTTTTAAAAGAAATATTATTATTTTAATTTCATGCATATTTTATTGGCTTGTGAATATGCCAATTTGATTGCATGTTTAATAGTTTTATTAAAATATGGGAGAGTAAAAGTGTGAGAGTAATTTTAATTTGATGCATATTTAAGTTCTTTATACAGAAATTATTAACATTTTTGTCTCTTTTAACATAATTTTTTTTCTTAAAGATTGACCACCATCATTTTTATATTATTATTTTTTTTTTTTTGTGGTAAGTAAGAATCAAAGTGTAAGAGGATGCGCTAAGAGTTGTAAGAAGCATTCAAAATCCCATACATCAACATCCAATATTCCAATTCCACCTCACCTCTTGGAGAAGAGTTCCAATGCAACAACAGTGCTTCCTATTCAAATAATCCTCAATGAAGCGGGATGCGAGGCGTCCATTCCTCTCAAGTTTATATTCTTCCATTCCTTCCATCACAGCATTGAGATAACTATTTCTTGTTTAACACAGATGGATAAGAAGACAAAACTGCCCTACTTAAGCGCACCTAAAGTTGGAATACACCTTTTCGACAAACTCACTATTTGCTTGTGTTTTAGACATTCCAAGCAAGGAGTGTGCTGTCGATAACCTCCATATTCAGCAATATTAAATTCTTCACGGTTTTTCCTTTTTAAAGGCAAGTGACAAGTTACATAGTTGAATTATATTTTACACTGATGATCCAGGCTTAATTATCAAAATGTGTGTGTTTGGCTGGGCTTTTTTCAATGACGCAATCATAGTGATGATTGCATGAAGTCTAATAATTACCTCTCACACTCTCCATCTTATAAATCCTCATTACCATGTTATAGATGTTATCCGGTCTCGAAATGATCTTGTGTCTGGACAAGTCTAAAGACAAGTCTTCACATGCCTCATGCCCCATAGAAGGCCCCTGCAATAGTTCTTTTGTTGTGGCAAAGCTTTTACTACCTCTGGTCTTTAATATAAGATCCCGTTTGACTTTTAGTTTGGTTCTAATTATAAGACCCCAATCCATTTTGTCTCTCATATTTATGCATTTTTTTCCAAGATAGTCCTTCTAATAATGATAGTTCTAACCAACACACTTAATTAGCAAGGATATTTTAGAAATGACAACATTTATTTGTTACAAATAACTAACTTAACTTACTTCCTTAATCTCCTCAAATTAGTCAATTAGGCCTTATAATTAGAACCGGAGGTAGTATATGCTAAAAATTCAACGATAAAGAGGACGAATATCAGACTGCATTCTTATTAAAAATATTTGGCCATATTAAATTTAGTTCTTAGTTTAAAAGACAGAACGAACAACAATTCCGGCAAATATAAATATGCTGGCCGGTGGCGTGGGAAAAAATCTGGGCAACGCCGTTACTCTTCTGAAATGTGATTTTTCTCCGAGCTCCCGTACTCCGATGTTCGTTTAAAATTATTCCCAAGATCAAATTATTGAATTAAAAAAAAAAAAAGCTAACAGTACGGCACGGCGGAGTATTTCCGTTGATTTTATAAACTCAAATTAAATTCTCGCTTTTCTTTGTACGCCATGGCGAAAACGACCTCCTTTCTTCCCTCCCCTTGTTCTGTTCTCTTTCCTCCTCACTTTCTTTCTCTAAAACAAGAAAGCATTCCTCTTTAAGTTTCAATTCATTTCCTTCTTTCTTCAACAAATTTCGCTGAGTTTGGCTTACGATTGTGGTTCCAATGGGACAGCAATCGTTGATCTACAGCTTCGTGGCGCGCGGCACCGTGATCCTTGCCGAGTACACTGAGTTCTCCGGTAACTTCACCGGCATTGCGTCTCAGTGCCTGCAGAAACTCCCCCCGTCCAGCAACAAATTCACCTACAACTGCGACGGGCACACATTCAACTACCTTGTCGATAATGGATTCAGTAATTCTCACTTTGTCTTCTTTTCTCTGTCTTTTGCTGATCTTCAGCTTTTCTTTTTCCTTTTTGATTTCCCATTACGGTGTTTATAAAATTCGTTTTTTTTTCTTCTGTTCATTTCTTGATGGGAATATAATTTATTACATGCGCGACATTGGTTCTGATTTTAATTGGGTTTAGATGTTTCAATGATCCAGTTGATGCCATTGAATTTCGTTAATGATCATTGGTCTCCCATTGTTGATGTTGTCTTGAGTTGTATGCACTTATTTGTTTTCACCGCCAGCATGGATAAAAGGCGAAGAAGCAATAAATTCAACTGAGCATTGAGTTGTTAGTTTGGTTGATGGAATTATAAGGAGGTGATTCAACCTATATATTGCACATGCGCTTCAATCACGAATTTCTCAAGTTGAAAATCTCAGTGGCCTGAAAGTGTAAAGGTTTTTATGAGCTTGGCGTAATCGTATAATCATCTTAATTACTTTAGGTTCCATGTTTATTTCAATTTTCTCTTGTATGGAAGAGGTATAATTTTATGTGATGCTGTGTTACATAGCGGAGTACAAGTTCAAAGTTGATGTTTCTCAGATATGATCTGTAACTGAATTCTGGTTTGCGAATTATTATACTTCTGATCGTTATATTTTACGTGTGGCATTAAATCATTACGTTTATACTTCTTCTTCTGATAATGCTGCAAGTGATAACTGATTCAAAATTGGCATTTGTCAAAAGTGAAGATTTGTATTGTATTGCTTTGTTCTATTTTCTTATCAATATAAAATTAAAATCATAAATTACATGATTTAAATTGTTGGTTTATATACATTGGTGATGAGCCTCTTGTACGTTTGTTCTTGACATGGTGTTTAAAATGTTTTTACCCTTGAAGCGTGTGGGATAATGTGCATGAGTATCTGAATATGGATGCCTTTTCTAAGACTTAAAACAATTTTGAAGATACTACAACTCATTATCGAACCATAAAGGTAATGAGATCCATTGGATAATTTGCTGTATCATAGTGCAATTTGATTAAATCATCAATTTCTCCCATATATAACCATTTTACCTGATCACCTGGCATTACTCTAAATCAGGATACTTACGAGATGTGAAACCAATCACAGATATGGTAACCATATTTATGCATATACGTATTGCAGTATTTTCTCAAAAAAAAAAGGGGTTAATATAATCTCTGTCACTGAAATTTGCTCTCATTTTGGTTTTGATTCCTCAAGTTTTAAATCATAGGTTTTAATCCCTCAAACTGCAAAATGATCCCAATTTTTATTGATTATAGGGACCAACGCTTTAAATAAAAAGAAATTTGAGGGACCAAAACCTATGGTTTAAAATTTGAGGGACCAAGACCAAAATAAGAACAAATTTGAAAGACTAAAGCTTGTATTAACCAGGAAAAAAAAAAAAACTCCTAATCTGATGCATATCTTTACATTAAAGAGTAACTCTATAATACTGATAATCATCTTCCAAAATTTTAAAAATCAAATTTGAAAACTGCGACCTAATCTTATGGGGGGTTTTCCCTCCTTGGTAGATTTTTTTTTCCCTCCTTATTTCTTTATCATCATAGATATTAACATCACAATGTCAGCCAACCTTTGTGATGCAAAATTCTATGTGGCTACGTTCTGTGCAGTGGGATGCCAAAAGATTCACATTGTTGGCTAGAAAACTTAATATGTCTTAAACTTTGTGTCTTCTTCAGGATGTGAACTTTCTTGGTCTTCTATGTGATCGTACCACTCCTAGTTGTTGTATGGGAAAATAAATAAGATATACCCTTGACGGATGCTTAGTTGAAACTTCCAATTCGAATTGGAATGTTTCAAATCAAGTGTAATGATTATCAAACAGGAAATTGGGAAATCTTTTCCTCTTGCCATTGAAGTTTTTTATGCGTTTGAGCTCTAAGCTTGGTCCAACTGTCATTTTGTTAAATGGTTTTTTGAGTTGTAATGCTTACTGTTCAAGAGGCTTTGTTTGCTGTCAAGTATTCTCAAACAAAACGAAAATGTCTACTAAGTCTTATCTGTCTAAGGTGTGCAACGATTCGGCATTTTATATTCCCTTTTCATACATGAGAACTCTGCTATACATTGTTGTGCACTTGTGTCAATTCACTTCATTAATTATGAAAAGAATGATTAAGGGCTAATTTAAATTCGTTTATTGTCTTTTGGTTACTCAATCCAATTATCTCAGTGAAAGTCTGAAACAAGCTATTCTTGTTTGCTTGTTGATAATTTGACGTGTACTAAAATTGTGGTGCTTTTGATTGTTTAGGTAGTTCTTTACTTTTTCTACTGAAATTACACTCATAATTTGTAGGAACTAATTTAATCTGTGGCACTGCTTGATGTAGCTTACTGTGTGGTTGCGGTTGAGTCTGTTGGCAGACAGATTCCGATTGCTTTCCTTGAACGTATCAAGGAGGAATTCTCCAAGAAATATGCTGGAGGAAAAGCTGCAACAGCTGCTGCTCGTAGCCTCAACAAAGAGTTTGGGTATTCACGTATAATGTATAGAAATGTAAATTTCTTTCATGAAATCCATAGTTATTAATTTTTTTTTTGTTTATGGGTTTAGATTCAAGTTGAAGGAGCAGATGCAGTACTGCATTGATCATCCGGAGGAGATCGACAAGCTTGCCAAAGTGAAAGCTCAGGTTTCTGAAGTGAAGGGAGTTATGATGGAAAATATTGAGAAGGTAAAAGCACCTATAATCTTTACAACTTCAAGGGCAACTTGCTCAAAAGTTAGAATTGTCTTTTTGTGGATGTTTAGCGAGCTGAAAGTGTTGTAATAAAATCCCTTCAATTAAATTTATGGTTAGCTGTAACATTTATAATTCTGTGTGTTCAGGTTCTCGACCGTGGGGAGAAGATTGAACTTTTGGTAGACAGAACTGAAAACCTTCGTTCTCAGGTATGTTATTGTTACTTATTGAGTAACTCGGCAATTTTGTGAAACTCTGAACTAGAGGATAATCTATTAAGAAATAGATTTCTTATTTACATTTATTATTGAATTTCTATTGGTGTTGCTAATTCTTAGTTGTAAAAAATTTATCATTATTATATATATTAATAATGAGATTAAATAAAGGGAAAATATAAACCAAAGTATGTTGAACTGTAGAACAATGAAAATGTGTGCAAGATTTTTCACCGTGCCTTTGTGCTTATATGCTTTATCAGTTATCAGTTCAATGATGGTTGTCACAGGGATGTTTAAATACAATTGAAGATGCATATGAGCCAGAAAACCAGTGAGCTGCGCAGCGAAGCTTCCCTTGGTTATGTTATTCAAAGTAGAAATCTAGGTTACAGAATATATAGTTATAGACTTATATAGCAAGCCTTATTTGATAATCCAATCCCACTAAACCAGGAAAAATAATTAACTAATCTGAAACAATAACAGAATTATGTGATATGAGGCCTAGTCCGTGACCCTCCCCATCAAGTTGGTGAATGGATGTTTGGCATTCCCATCTTGCTTCTCAGTAAGTCTTCAAACTTCACCCTTGGCAGGGCTTTAGTTAAAATATCTGCAACTTGGCTCGGAGTAGCGATGCAGCTCAAATTGCCTAATCCTAAATCAAGTTTCTCCTTTATGAATTTGCTACCCAGCCCCACATGTTTTGTCCTTGAAAGAAATTATATGTGATTCATATAAATCATGCGGTTGCTTGGTTTAATCTCGATTTGTTGTTTACTCGTTTTTTCCCCCCTTAAAATCTTTATCTATTTTGGTTTGGCTAATGAATATCTATGGTTTTGCAGGCTCAAGATTTTAGGCAGCAGGGAACCAAGATTAGGAGAAAGATGTGGTTCCAGAATATGAAGGTAAAATTAATAGTTCTTGCCATCATAGTTCTCCTCATTTTCGTTATCGTCTTTTCTGTATGCGGTGGCTTCAAGTGTGGGAAATGAGTCTTTTTTCTTCCTACATACTGTTTTTTCCTCTTCCTTATTTTTAACTTTTAGTTTTTTAAATACTTTCCTTTAACTCGTCTGGTATGGTGGTCTCTATTATTGTAAGACATTGCCTGTATAGTTTGCAGTAATTATTAATTATTAGTTCCAGAGTTTCAATTTTAGTTTCAACTCCACACTAAAGCTTAATTAATTCGCCACTCAATTTTTCGTACTCAAGTTAAATATACGAATCGATCTATGGGCAAGGCTCTAAACAATTAAATAAAGCTCCCTTGGTAAAATGGCGTACTCTATGTTCCGCTTTTTGATCATTAGATCATCGTCATCATTCTATTATACACAGCGTATAAGTATGACATTATCAGCACGCAAGCTGATCTCTAAAAGAAGAAATCTCCTCAAAAATTGGGAGTCTCTTGGATCTAAGTGGGCCCCATTCACTCATAAGCCGCTCCAGTCCTTTGATAAAATCATCATCCAGGCCCAAAAGGTCTGGCAACTGTGGGCCCGGTAGCTTGGACCTCAACTCTACTAATAGATCTTCGGCCCGTTTCCTCGACTTACCATCTTCTGACCCGGGAACATTGCCTAGAATTACTTCTTCGAGAATCACTTGAGCTTCTTCATATCGAGCCTGTCTCATGAGACACAGGCCCAGGTTACAAGCCTTGTTGCAATCTGGATCAATCATTTGGGCTTTCCTGTATACAACCTCCGCCATCATGTAGTTCTTCTTTTGCATGTAGGCCCAGCCCAAATTTCCCTGTGTCATGCCACGTCATTTGTGTCAACTTTCACAACTTATCCATCATGCGTGATGAATTAATGTGTTTCTAATCATGAACTAGACTATGGATCCGTGATTGCACAAAATTTGAAATCCACCGTACTATTTCAGGTTTTGACCTATAAATTTTATATTAATACTCCCTTCCGTTCCTTCTATAGTATCTCCGGTTCTAATTAGAAGAATAAGTAATTATAGATGACAGACGAGGTCTTATAATTAGGAGCAGAGGTAGTATTTATCTAAATCATGGAGATCAATAAACATGCAAATATTATAAGTTTTTTCCCCATGTTTATTATGAGGGAGAGTCTAGGAGAGAGAAAAGGGAAATGAATGAATGATGTTTGGACAAATGAGATAATAAATACATTAAATATTAAAATAAATAATTAATGAGAAAAAATAAAAAATTAGACAAAAATTTGAAACATCTTGTAAATATTTCCTATAAATAATGACAAGATGAAAATAGTAGTTGTTTCCTACAAAAATGACCGACGGAGTACCGATGATTGATGATTTTTGTGAGCTGGGACTCAGATTATATTAAACATTGATAATCTGATTGGATACGTAACATTGATGCCAACTAAAAAAATGTCAACACGCTCGAGGAACCTAAAAATTAGGATGAATCAACTTTTCTTTTACCCAAAAAAAAAAAAAAAGGCGAAGACTAGAGGGCAGGAATTGAAGAATGAATACCAGTAATCTGGAAGTTTCTTGCTTGATGGAAACTTGGAACTTCTTGCCATGAGATCGTGCTGTCTTTGTGGGTTTACCATTGAAAGCCTCGCCTTGGTATATCATTTTCAGCTTCCTCTTTAACAACTCTATTTGCTCGTCAACTTTTCCACATTTCTACCATTAAACAACAATCTCACAATGAAATACAATGATATATACTTCAGGAATTCTGCCTCCTTTCAGAAATTCTTAATCACTCTACCTCTAAAATATAAGCCATCCAGACATGAATTATACTATATGCGACGCCAACCTTTCCAGGAGTCCATAAAATATAAAACTAGATGTTAGGAAGGAACGCTTATATTTCTTTGGGAGAATTACAATGAGATCCCAAGCAAATAAAACAATTGAAAAATAAATATCAGAAGTTGTCATTCTTACTATTATTATAAACTGTTGAGATTGTTATTAAGACTTTTTAGTAATTATTTCTCAGGACTTAGATTATAATTCCTCCTATTTCTTTCCATACCTACTGGCTTCAAATTGAGAAGCCCACAGATGCATTATATTAACGAGTTTTCATCGACCCATTTCTTACACTAACTATACATGCATGGACTGCTTTTTTTTTTTTTTTTTTAAATCACTGTTGGGGGGGTGTCTACTCATAATTAATTGAATCAGCCAATTTGTTTGGACACAAAATTCACTTTCAGAAATTTTCTTCGACTCGTGGCAGTCGCTGGAAAAGGACAAAAATGATCGAAAAGGGAGAAGAATAGAATGAAATTGAAGCAGTAGAAGTATAGTACCTTGTACAGATCGATGAGTACATTATCAAGTGACTCTTGGGATTGTTTGGAACAAAGGCTTCTAAAAGACTTGATGGCTTCGATGGCTTCGTCGGCTCTATTCAGTTGTTTCATCACTACAGCCATGTCCTTCAATGCACTGTCCACTTTGTCTCCGGCATTTATTGCCCCCCAGAACAATACTATTGCCCCTTCCGGATCCTTATCCACCAACTGCGCATATCGTCATGTTAATTATTGTTTATACAAGTTATTACGATATCTCAAATTAAATAATACTAACTCTGTTGTTCATGAAAACAAAATCCAGTGAAAACACCATTGCTTTTCACAGCAATACCAAATCTTAGGAGTACTAAATAGCGCGTTACTTAGATTGATGAGCCTCAACATATAAGGATGGAAGAATTCAAGAACCACTCGGTGATTTATTTCTTGTTAGTTTCTAATCAATTGTGAAACGGCAAAGCAGAAAGTAAAAGTAATGTGACAAAATTCAACTCAAACTTCTCGCCTTTTTTTAAACACATGAAGTATAAATTGAGAGGGGGAATGATCGGGTGGAAGAATTTATTAACCACCAGTTGATGACATTTTTGTTTGTTTGTTTCTTCCTCCTTAAAATAGAAAAGAAGTAGAAGTAGAATAAAACGGGAACCAGTTTCAGCTAAAAGTTCACTTATTTCGAAGAAGTAAAAAAGGAAAGAAGGAAGGAGGAAAGTCAATAATATTCAACTAAATTGTCATATAATTCATGATAAACAAAGAAGTTTATTTATGGTGGCAGGATTAACCATGGATAAATCATATAGAGAGCGAACTACAATCTCAGATCATTGAATACTAATTCATCCATGGATGTACAGTGCAACTGACAACTCAATCATCGAAGAAGAAGAAGAAGAAGGAAAGGCATGGAGTAAAGGAAGATTATGAGGGGGAAGATCTATGGAAGAAAGAGTGGTAGGAGAATGTTGAAGAATTAAAAAGGGAAGGAACCTGAGCATGCTTGGCTCTGACATAAGGGCTATCTCCATAAGGAACCTTATGAAGAACGTGGTAAAGATGGTCCTTCTTCCCTTTCGAGACCATGCTCTTGGTATCGCACACACTTTCTTCCATTCGCTCCGCCCGGTGGCTCAATCTCTCTGAAACAGGAGGAGGAGGAGATGCAAAATAGAACAATTCGAGTTCAAGTCTTAGCGGTGACGGTGATCGCTGAAGATGAGAAAAGGAAGGGAGAGTACAGAGCAGGGAAAGAGAAATGATGTCATGGGATTTTGGGGATCCCGTAAACTCTGAACCTGGCCTTCTTGGCGTCCCCCTTCATTCCCACAGATCAACAACCAATCAACGGCTCCTGTCCCAGTATCTCTTTTCCTTAGGGGGACACGTGTCCACCTTTGATTGCACCCTCTCACAGAACAGGGGCCTTTTGAGCCAAATTATCGAATTACCCTCCCCACAATTGCTGGCGCGTTGGTCAAGCGCGCGCGTAAGTTTAACCGTCCGGCCCGTCCGACTCATCGGAACGCTGGAAGCAGGGGCAGCGCCTTCCTCCAGGATCCGCTTGGCGCGAGGGATTTAGAGGGAAGGGCCTTCCCTTACATGCTCTCACTAAAACACCCTTAAATTTATAAAAATTAGTTTGGCTAAAATATATATTTAGTCTTTTAATTTTGTTTAAGGTTTTAATTTGGTCTTTGATCTTTAAAAAGCATATATTTGATCATTTAACCCTAAAATTATTAGATTTCAATGATAATTTTTTGTAACAATCATGGATTTTTTGAAAATTAAATTTAATATGTTAGTATTTGAGAATATTTTATTAACATTTAATATCTCAATGTTATCATTTTTTTAAAAAATTTTAGGGTTAAAGGACTAAAAGTATACTTTTTAAAGTTAAGGGATCAAATCAAAACCTTGTATAAAATTAAAGGGCCAAATATATATTTTAGCCAATTATTTTTTGTGATGTTGACTTGGTTATGAATTAATCTCTATCACCTTAACTATTTAAAGTTTTGGTCCCTATATTTTAAATGATTAAAATTAGAGTCGAGCAACGTTTCAAAATATTTTCTCATGTGTATCTAGTATTTTAAAGTACTTTGAGGTACATCTAGTACTGCAAAATATTTTTTAGGTGTGTCTAGCATCCTAAAATATATTTTTTTGACTTAGTGCTGATGCACAAAAAAATATTTTTGGATGCTAGATGCATGTAAAAAAAATATTTTGAGATACTGGATGCACCAAAAAATACTTCATGGTGCTGGATCTAAAAAATACTTTAAAATGCTAATGTACCACAAAATATTTTAGGGTACTAAATGTACTCGAGAAAATACTTCAAGATACTATATGCATTACAAAATATTTTAGAGTATTGAATGTATTAGAAAAAATACTTCAGAGTGTTCGATATTCCTTAACTCTTAAAATTATAGGAATTAACTTACGTCGAATTTAGGGTTAGTAATACGTGCAGGTTGGCTTGTAGCGGGTTGAACCCATATGGGTTGAGTTGAAAATGCTTGTTTGAAGGAGAAAGCCAACCCTAACTAGTCAAGGTGGGTTGGTAGGTTGGGTCGCCAACTAGCTAATACTTATTTACTTTTTTTTTAATTTTTTTTACTTTTTTATATTTTTTCTTATACAATGTCCCAAAAAAATATAATAAGATTTTATTTTTCTTGAAACATGTGATTGAAATATCAAATAAATTATATAGGTATATTTTTAATTTTTTAGATAGTATATGATATATAATAATATAATTATAATGATTAAAAAATTGAAAAAAAATAAATGCGGGCTG